TCTCTCACACATTTTTCTAAGCCAGGCCTAGCAATAGGGATCAGAGCATCATTTGTAGTATGCCAGTGAAAATATACAATAAAATGGATGTCCTGTTTTCTGCATCCTCATTGTAGAACCCATTTAGCAGGATACAGTACTCTGTATTTGAGACCGAATGCTATTTATTTTTAAAGTCATTACACACAGAATAGTAAGTATTAGTTTTAGACCCCAGCACCAGGAAATTCATTAGTAATATGCGTTGTTTATATTTCAGTAAGTCAATAGCATTTGTACTTATACCTATACTGATGTAAATGGGGTCAGATTTATCAGATGTGACTAGTGATTTTGGTTGATTCCATTTTTGGGTACCTAACTTGAGATGCCTCACAGGGACCTGATTGTTCAGAGGGAGGCTACATAACACTTCCATCAGGCTTCTTTAAAGTGTTGTAAATTGGGTGACCAAAAATGGAAGCAATCAGAATCACTAGTCATGTCTGAAAATCTTGACCCAAATCTCACTCTGTAGGGTGTGAGAGGATTGCCTCGGGGGTCAGGAAGGCATTCCTCTGTGCATATTTGCATTTTGAGGGGCGACACACAGAATACTAGACTAGATTGTAGAGAGAGATGGTGTCTACCTCTATATTTGTATAGTGCCCAGCACAATCTAGCCCCAATCTTGATTACAGCCTCAAGATGGTGGTGTAATGTAAATATTAATGGATACGTGACATTCTATACCTTGGGGGAGCGCCCTGTAGTCCCCATATTCCTCATTTATATATAATTGTGATAATGCATATAAAGTAGGCCGTGTGAGGTATCAGGGGAAAGATTATGATCTGCTGAAAGTCATTTTTCTATATAACTATATATCATTAATGCATATGAAGTTATGAGAATGTGTGGTATGGTTGTCACTAAAATATGCTATGGGTTTGGGACGTGCCCAGATATTAGCTCTCCAGAGATAATGCCAAGGAAAGTAATCAACACCCAGGTTTGTGTCAAACAACCTATCAACAGCCATTGTCCTGCAAGAGAGCTACAATTCAATGACTCACTTGCATAAGGCTACACTCAGGTTGCCAACCCTCCAGGATTGGCCTGGAGTCTCCCGGAATTGGCATCAATCTCCCGGTGACTATTGAAAGCAATCTGGGCGAGTTTAGTAGGCTATTTTAAGAAAATGACATATCATGTTGTAGGGTGACCATATTTCCCTATGCTGAATAAGGGACAACTGGTAAAATTACTTATATTTAAGCGAGTTCAATGGCAATTGTACAAATGTTCAAATTAACATCAAGTTGACTGATCCCCTGTAATAAAGAAATACTGAGTAGCTAGATTCTTTTTAGTTACCTTCTTATCTTTACGGCTTTAGAGTTCACTCGGGAAGGGGTGACACACTCCCGTACACCTCTCTCACACAGCGGGGGTGACCGACCAACCTGACCCTCTGTGCCCAGTGGTCTCTGCCCTCCATGCCAGGCTGGGCTCCCCAGATGGACCCACCTCTCCTGGTACCTGGCGCTGTGTCTTCCCGAGGCAACATGTGGGGGGGGGGGCATACAGGGTCACATGCCCCCCCCTCCCCCCAGATTTCTGCCAGGGTTCACACCAGAATGTGGCCAGCAGCAGCCTTTTGTCACTGTGCGGGAGGGGAGGGATGGGAGCTGCTTCCAGCCAAAGGAGAGGAAAGGGGGGAAGAGATGACTTGGCTTGTGTCTTTGCAGAGCTCATCTCTTCCCCCTGTGGCTGGAAGCAGCTTGTCTCTTCCCGCCTGCACAATGTCAGAAGGCAGCTAACACCTCCAGGCTGCTGTTGGCCACCAGCATAACCCAGCTGCCTCCTGTTCCCTGGCTAGAGCATGGGTAGGAAGGGGTTAAGCCCTAAGGATGCATTGTGCACCAGGGCCCAGGGAACCTGACTGCAGGGGCTTCAGTGAACCCAGCCAGACACATGGCTCAGCAGAGGAGGGTGCCTAGAGGATGGAGCAGCCCTTTGCTCCCTGGGGGCAGGACCCGGGGGGAAGGGTGGGCAAAGAAGGTGCTAAGCCCCTGCCCTGGGGGCTACTATGGAACCTGCAGGTTCAGGGCATGAACAGGCTGGAAATCCTTTTCCCCCGCCCTGCCCCTGCTGTGCCAGTGCTGTGTGGGGCTTTGGCACATGCAGGGCTTGGCTCCTCCTGGCCAGCGCCCCAGCCCACAGAATCTTGGGCTTTCCCAGGGTGCCTGCCAGCCAGAGGCAGTGGTGGAAGGAAGGAGCCTGCCAGCCAGGTCGTTAGTGAGCTGAGAACTTCTACTAGGGGCTGGTTCTCTGAACTGTGCTGGGAGCGGGGCACGCCCTGCTGGGGGGATATGTAGGAGCAGCGGAGTTTGGGGGGGAGAGCAAAGGAGCAAAACAGGGAGAGGACAGTGAGAGGGGGAACACATAAAGAGCTGATGGGTGGGCAGCAGAGGCAAAACATAACTGGCTGCTGCCCGGCACCTGCCCTCACTCATCAGTCACCACAGCTCACAGCGTGCAGCCAGTGCCATCCGGAAACGGGATGGGGGGCAGGCCCTGCTGGCTGAGAGCTGGCACACAGCGGGGGCTGAACTGACGGACCAACACTGGGGAGCGTCTGGCCATGTGCGTTGCATCTTCACGCCACCACCAGCCTTGCACACCCAGCCCCATCGTCGGCCACTGGACCCCCATTCACCGCTGGTGGGCAAGTGGCTGGCAAGCAGGGATCCAGCCAGCAGCAGGACCCATCAGTACTGATGCAGCGTGTGGGGAGACAGAAAATACAGGACAATTTGCCTGTTTTTAAGAAAGTCAGGACATCTGCAGGAGGGCTTTAAAATGGGACTTTCCCTTTAAAAATGGGACATCTGGTCACCCTATCACATTGGCAACCCTAGACCACACGAGGGGAATTGCTCAACCTTGGCTGGGAACTAAGCAATGCCCACAAGATGTGCCTGGACTTGTGTTCTCCAACCATGGACTAAGGATATAAAATAGAACACGGGCCCCATGCTGGGCCTTTCTCCTTCCCCCACCTATGCTGCAAACAACAAAGACAGTCAAAATACTAAAGACTCCAACAGAGGAGACTGGCCCAGGTTTAAGGGATAACCTGTATATTAAGGACTGCAATATCCAGTAGGGTGAGAAAAACTGCTTAATCTAGATGTTGCCCAGTCTAATAGGGTTGAGAGTTTAGACTGCGTGCTTACATTTTCTTTTCTTTTGGTAACTAACTCTGACTTTTTGCCTATCACTTATAGTCACTTCAAATCTATCTTTTGTAATCAATAAACTTCTTTTACTGTTTATCTTTACTAGTGAGTTTGCCTGAAGTGTGTGGTAAATCTGCTCAGGTTTGCAAAGGCTTGTGTATAGCCACTTTCCATTGATGAAGTGGTGAACCAGTTAATAAATTTGCACTGCTCATCTTGAGCTGTGCAAGATGGTATGTTCCTGAGGTACGAGGCTGGGGGCTGGGAGGATTTGGCTAGTGCCTTTCTCTGTGTGATTCATGAGTGGCTCCGGAGCATTCATGCAATCTAGCTGGGTGTGGGGCTCCACATGTGGTTGTGCTGAGTGATCACAGCTCTGGAGGGGCTTGCTGCTTGTCACTAGCAAGGCATTGTGAGAGACAGCCCAGGCTGGAGAGAGTTAAGGGGGCACAGCAGTCCCACAGTCCTAGGCTGTACCCTGGGAATCCTGTCACAAGATAAACTAAGGGTTTCATCTGATATGGTAAATTTTCTATTCCTAAACTTTCACTGCACACCTATGCATCACTGATTTGACCTCTTCGGATATCCACTTAGAAATAGATTATTGCTTCCTAAAATGAGGTTCCTGTCCTGTGAGCCTTTAACTACATGATTTTATAGTACATAGATACTTGAACCTAGCCCTATAAGTGTCAGAATTTTACAGCCTTGTATTTGATATAGTGTGGTGAACTACAATGATTGAGTATATCATTACAAAAGATTCTGTATCATAAATTGTAGCATGATATTATGGCCTGTAGCCACTTATTACATAAGATGTTAAATTCTAAAAAGACCAAATTACATCCCTGGTGTAATTCCATCAGCTTCAGTGGAGTTGCATCAGTGATGTAATTTACAGTCACTAGCAAGCCCTAAATCATGTAAACTGCTGCATACGAAGTATAATACATTACATGTTTAGATCTGGTTCATAGGCAAGTACCAAAAATATAAAATGCAAACAAGTTACATATACTATGAATAAAAAACCTATTCTTAAATATTTCACTGAAACACATTGTAAATTAGGAAAGGATAGAAGGCAGTCCAAAGATGAAAGAAAAAAGTGGTGGGCAAATGGCTATATTATTAATTTTACTATTCCATGTCCAGTGATCTCTACGGCAGAAGTGGTTCTTTTTATAGTGTAGCATGTCAGCAAAGACCCTGGATTAACAAGAAATGGCTCTTATTGTATGCCCAGCTATTATTTATTCTCCATATTATTTCATGCATATTATCATAGTTATAAATCATATAACAGTGTAACTACAGATTATTATAGCCAACCTAACATTGCAAGGAAGCAGTAATAGTGAATGAGGACGGATGGGAGCACTCACTCCTCCTTACACTGATGTCTGGGATTGTTTGCATTTTGGTGCCGATTGAGTGTTAGGGGAGGAGGATACAAGGGGGGGAGGGGGTCCTATTGATTAAAATCAGGGTTAAAGCTTGAGGGGATCTTTTTGCGGGGGTTGGTGATGGTGACTCGGAGACGGCGCTGCAAAGGAAGGGCAGGCGGGCACTCCTGGCAGATACTGAGGATGCAGCAGGGTGCTTTCCCTTGCCCTCGGCAGACACAGCGGGCTGGGGACTCAATGGGAGGGTGGAGAGAAGGGGGCTGCAGAGCTCCCTGGCAGCCGCGGCAGGCAGGGATCACGTGTGCGGGCTGTCAGCCCGAGCCGGGGGTGGGGGCACTCAGCGGGGCTGGAAGGGGAGGGGCTGACACTACTCACCAGGCCGGCTGGGAGCGCACCGCAGCGGGCGAGCGCTGCCCGCCGCCCAGCCCGCTCCATGGCGTGGCCCTGCATCAGCCGCGTGTGCTGCCTGGCCCGCTTCTGGAGCCAGCTGGACAAGTCCGACCTCTCGGTGCCGCTCACCATCCACAGCTACTCCGACATCGAGGAGCCCGAGGAGGGGGCGAGCCCGGCGCGGGGCGGCCCCCGGCGGGGCGCGGCGGCGGACGGCCGCTCCCGGGCAGGCGGCGGCGGACAGCTGCCGGCCGGGCCCCCCCCCCTCGCAGGACAACCTGGCCATCAAGCGGTCGTGGAAGCGGGGGAGCCACAAGCGGGGCCCGGCGGCGCCCCCCGACAGCCAGCCCTTCGCCGCCGAGACCCAGTACCGGCAGGACTTCCGCGCCTGGCCCCTGCAGAAGCGAGACGCCTACCCCTGGGCCGGCGAGGGCAGGAGAGACGGGCCCCCCGCCCCGCCCAGGTCCGTGTACGTCCTGCCCGCCGGGGACAGCGACCAGCGGCCGGAGGCCAGCAGCAGGCTGAGCTGCTCCCCGCCCGGCGCTGCCAACACCACCTCCTACAGGTAAGCTGGAGCGGGGCCAGTGTTCCGGGGGCTCCCTCCCGCCCCACACCCCCCCGGCAAGGGGGCTGCAGAACGGCTGTCGGGGAAACATGGGGGTCCGGAGAGTTTTCCAAGGTGGCCGGGGATTTAAGGTGCCCGGCTTGAAACCCCTAAGAGATGCTGTTCAGAAAGGGCTGATGATCATTACAAGGTGGCTCAAATCCGGCATCCGGAATCTCTCGTTGCTTTGGAAATGTGCCATGAAAAATCTCAGGTGTTTTTTTAGTAATCTCACCTCACCTTCTTCCAGGCTTTGCCAGCCCTATCGGTGCTGGAACAGAGTGCTGGGGGTGCAGTACTACCCCCTGGCTTGAAGTGGTTTCCATCATATACAGGGTTTACAGTTTGGTTTAATGGCTCTCAGCACCCCCACTATAAAAATTGTTCCGGCACCCCGGCCAGCCCTGCATTTATTTATTTATTTATTTTGCAGTGCTAATGAGCACTGTCCTGAGGCAGTACAGTATGTGTAGTACGATTATCCATAACTGCAAGTCAAGTCACTGTGCGTATTTGATTTTGGCTTTTGCCAAAGAATAACAGGAGTAAAAAAAGCACTAGTATAAACAGACGCAGAACTCATAATGCCAACTACAATTGCAATACGGTAAGTGCTGTACTGTAAAATACAATATGACAGTGAGCATAACCAGGACCCATAGGTACCATCAACAAAATGGTTACACTGAACTACATTAGGATTATGACATCAACAAATGTTGGAATTGTTTAACCCCTGGGGCACTGCATTTACTGTGAATTTGGGGGCCACATGCTGTATCCCCAAAACATTTGTGAAACATGAATGTAATTGGCATATGTCTAAAAGGTGATATTTAAACTGTTAATATTTAAGCCATTAATATTTAAGCCAGGAAAGTTCACAATTATTTAAAATGATGTCACAAACCACCTCTATTTACATGATTTTAAATGATTGTTTTATTTTCCTTTTGTCTTTCCTGAATTATTATAAACATTTATTTACTGGAACAAGAGATGAAACTGGCTGCTTCTGAGTTCTGTTCTACTCTGGAGTTCTCTCTCCATGTCTATCCCTGGGTATATGAGCCTTTAAAAATAATGTAGGTTATTAAATAATGTACCAAGTTCACTAGAATGGCGCTGAGGAACTGTTTCATGGCCTCGAATAATCACACATGGTAGTTTTTAAACATGTCTTTTATGTATATTGATAGCGCAATTAATCTTATTATAACTGGGTAACAGGTATTTTTACATTTTTCACTGTGTTATTTACCCACCAGACATATCTCTTTCTGTTATAACCGATTAGATAAATATGCCATTAAATGCCTTTAAGACAAAAATATTTGAATCCTTTGGAGTGATTATAGTCCAGCATGTGCATTTATATTGGTTACCTTATCACTCCATACTCTGGAGAGCTGTCACAATATAGATGTGGATATAAAAAAATTGTCTTTAACAAAAACTGTGCAGCAGTTGACCTTAATCATGCATCTTTTCTCGCTTATTAAAAACAGCCTAGCCTTATTAAAGCCTAGCTTATTAAAAAAAGCCTAGCACATAATATGGAAAAAAGGCCCTGCAAAATGACAATTGTTAATAGACAAAGGCAATTTGAAACAGAACAAAAAGTACCTAAGACCAGCAAACACTATAAAATGACATAGGCAAGGTTGACCAATTAGAAACTCATCCATCTTTAATTTCTGTCTTTTAAAATATCTTTCTGGTTATTCTATCTGACCCCAAAACCAAGGGAATAGTAAGCACTCATTACAATCACAGATTTCGCACTGTGTTTCCAGTTGTCAGTGCATTTGTACCTTTCACACCATCCTTCCATCTGACTGCTTCATTCTTGTGCAGGGCCCTCAAATAACATCCTCCAAATGCAAAAAAGCATGTACATTTTAAGACTCAGTAGGTAGTCAGGGAGCAAGGGGGATAGACTAACCTGCAACCCAAAACAGCAATATTATAAGAAATCCATGTCTGGGAACTTCATGACAGCTGCAGTGATAGAGCACACTGCCCCAAAGCCACAGCCTCTTACTGTAGTAGTTGCATCAGTATGAAAACCTGTGAAATGTTTAAGCAGTTCTAGGGTTATTCACTAGAGATCAAATGGTACAAACAGACCTACCCATACATTAACCAGCACATTTGTTTACAAGATTAGAAAGGCAAAGGCACAAAATGAGCTCAAACTAGCTACGGGAATAAAAGGAAACAAGAAGACTTTTTATCAATACATTAGAAGCAAGAGGAAGACCAAAGACAGGGTAGGCCCACTGCTTAGTGAAGAGGGAGAAACAGTAACAGGAAACTTGGAAATGGCAGAGATGCTTAATGACTTCTTTGTTTCGGTCTTCACAGAGAAGTCTGAAGGAATGCCTAACATAGTGAATACTAATGGGAAGGGGGTAGGTTTAGCAGATAAAATAAAAAAAAAAGAACAAGTTAA